TATATAGTCTTTCTAAAGCAGTCTAGTCAAGATGACCGGAGAGCTGTATAACTAACGTGGGTTTGTCCGTGAAGTACAGGTTATTAAAAGCATTTTAAGTCTGAGAGCATAACAGCTGTTTTCTGGCTTTATGAGATGCTTCACAAACAAGAGAGGTTTTTGGGAAAACGATACCAAGATACTTGATGGTGCCTTATTTGGGTATAGGATTTTCGCTGACAATCTGAATGAGTAGATATCTATGGGGGACTTTATATTGTCGCCATGAAGAAAACAAACTATTGCATCAATGCGCTTAGGACCGTTAAGAATAAGAGATCCGGATGTAGACCACCACCAGATCTTCTTATCCACGTTGAAGCAATGTGGAATCTCGGATAGTGAGGCCGTACACCCGGCACAGCATCGCCACCATATTTGTATCCTATTAAGATGGGTTGTATAGGCGCGCGTTCAGGACATAAGGAGAATAGAGAACGTGCTAGGATCGCTCTGTGCAAAACACGACAGTCGGTATAGGGAGAAGTAGATTTCTTACCGTTTAACTGGGCAAAGTGAGTACGATTCATAAAATAGTCACTTAGCAAATTACATACACCCGGGTGAACTGCTATCTCTGAAACCAGATTAAACAAGATTGATTTCCCTAGGCTTCCAGAGGCTGCTTAAGGAAGTAGCCACGATTCCTAAGATTTCTCATACAGAATATTTCTTTTCGAATCCGGTCGAAAGCGAACATTAGTGACTATAATCGTTGTAGCTAGCTACCACTCATATGGACCTTCTAGTTCCATCGCCATTACTCGGAATCCTCTCACACCAAGCTGACTGATGGAAGTTTCACAAGTAGGGTAGTATAGTGAGTATTCAAATAGTTTGTGATGGGGGGTAGCCTTGCCCACCCTATCAATTTTTTCTCTGTTCGTTTGCATGAACACATCTATCGCCAGGCTCCACCGTCATTCAGATATTTCAGCTTTCTTTTTATAACATCAGTACCGTCATGTTGACTCATCATCCAGCCGGTAGGATTCGCACTATCTTTTTGACACGTTAAACGCGAGTTTGCCATGATCTATATCTGTCTGGATGAGCCTACGCACCACACATTAGTATATAACAGTATTACGTTTTATCATTCATTGTTCATTCTCTGAGCGCACAAGGTTTATATGCGGTTAGCTCTCTTTGTTATGCCTGAGAACGTTTCTACGTTCAAATTTTCATAGGGCTTGATCGATGTTTCTCTGTTGACACCTGGGTCTTTCGTTAGCTTAGATCTTGATTGGTCTTTCACCATGGATCCGGTGAAACCTGTTTCGAACACAGGATGACATGTATGCTGAAAGTCCTAGTCTTATACAATCGGATTGGTTTTGTGGCCCTGAAGAGTATATGCCCTTCAGAGACGAGGCATTTTTTCACATAACACAATCCGTGGGTTCCAGGATTCTTTGCGTCACCCCTAACATTTTTATCACCAGAGCTGATTGTTCGTCGTTCTTCTCTTTACATTGTCCACATCAGTTCTCGCACCCGAGAGTTGGTGTCCAACCACCTGTTTTCTTGATTTATCTCTCCAATCAAAGTGATCCGTTCATTCTCCAAGCTTTAATTATATTTTCCTTTTGCCTCCTCTAATAGGTAGATTGTGCTCGTTTTCCAGTGTTCATTCGTTCTACACAATTTATCCTGACTGATATTTCTTATGCGGAAGGGCGTTAGACGAACAAAACTCTTTCGCATCACGCTTCCCCAGTTCTTTCACTCTCTCCATGGGGGGACGAATTGCAAACTAGGGCAACGAATTGTCATTTCTTTAAGCTACTAAAAGGGTTCGCGATCTTTTGAAAGGGTTTACCACAGCTAACTCCCCTTGGATAGGCACCACACAGCGGGACATCTGCTAAATAGCCGTTTGGTCCTAACCTTGTCTTACTCGAATTACGGGATTTCCTGTTATGAATTAACTAAATTAGCCACTAAGTCACGGATGATCGCGGTAGTCCTCCATTGCAGAGATATGGTGCGGGTCATCGTCCATTGGTATGAACTTCTTGAAGACAATCCCCAGACACAACTTACCTCGCCGCCAGTGTGTCACGACATCACAAGGTATCTCATGTTGCTACTCTTATAAGGGAGTAGTAGAGTTTCCTATGTTTTGAGAGGATTCGTTGCAGTTAGATTCAGTTCGGTTACCAGTACACGTCCGCTAAGGACTACTTAGCCATTTTGTCCTTTTGGCACTCACCACAAGTACGCATTCACCGAATCCCGCCGCATTCGAATCCACGAGTCTTCTGTCACAAGGTAGTGACTCAAACGACAGAGCCATGAGTGGAGGTGGCATACCATCACAGCCCACTTGCAGTTTCGCCTGCTTCATCGATCGACGTTTATTTGTATTTTGTTACTTGCAACACTGAAAAGATATACTTGCAATAACGTTAAGAAGCATCACCGAAATCATCCACGCACCCGTCCTTTTCACCTATACTAATTTCACATTCGTTCTCATTTTTCTTTCACAATAATACTTTTTGGACATTTAAAAAGGATTCAGAATTTCGTTATGGACTCGCACTGTTGTTTTGTCATCTCCTTGATGTTCTTGATCCATCTTTTGCACACGGAATTGTAACTGTTCGATTTCTATGCGGCGCATTGATAGGCACTTGATCTCCATGTGAACCTTTGTGCTTCCAGCGATCGAAGTGCATTTTCATTTCTCGCAACACTCGCTTGTTTTAATGGTTCTCGTCACAAGATCTGTTTCATCCTCATGTTGGATGTTAATTTGACCAATATTAATCCCATCTCATACCAGCTTGGCCATTTGTCTAATCTTTCAACGTTTCTCATTTTCTTTTCTTATGCCAGTTGGATCAACCAGTCTCCGCTGGTTCACGGGGCCTGACACATTTCCTCCACGGTATCAGCGATGATCTTCGTCAGCAGCATCGCAACCACTTGTTCGTGGTGGACAATGAAGCACTCCACTCTGCGGCAAACCAGTTGGTGAATCAGCTGTCCATTTCTGGTCGTGCTGTTTTGGGTCCAGAAGATAGCCAAGATGTACCAACAACCACCGACCTGCATGGGTCATGGGAGCGTGTAGTCATGAATCAGTGATTGGCTGATTCATGGAGCTATGTATAGAGATATGTACTTGTATACTCCCCAAGCTTTCTTGACTTGTTAAATCGTGGGTAACACGATCTCGCTCACTTGATCATTGCATATCCTCACCTTCCTAGAAAGAACTTTCAACTTATCCTTATAATGATGATTACGGTGATTTTGGCCTTCACTTTACACAGCCGGTGAAATCTCCCCGTTTGCTTCGTGCAGGCCTAATTCTCAAGAAGAATACGGTTGTCGACTATCCTGCGGTTTGTCTCCCATTTAATAGAATGAATCAAGGAAGGCAGAATCTGAGTAAAGATTTTTTCCGTAATTCTCATCAGACTCAAACATTACATGATGACGACAAAGTGCTAAATGTGGCGGATTGGGCTGCGTATCGATCAGAATGTTTAATTCCAGCAGGAACTAATCAAATTGATGGCGTTGCCATGGGATCATCATTTCGACCCTTTCTAGCAAATGCCTTTATGGCAACATTGGGGCATAACGCATTAAGAACGTACATCAACGCAGTCCAGATGTATATATGTTATGTGGACGACACATTTATAACTGCAAATCAAATGCGCAGGCTGTGGAACTGTTGGAAGCCTTTAATGATGCGAGTCCGGAAATTAGCTACCGTTCCTGAACGTTGATATCATCGGAAACACCGATGGATCGTGCAGCAGAGCAGTGTACAACAAACCAACTTGGATTGGACAGTACACCAATGTCTATAGTGCGGTACCCCTGCAGTACAAACGAAATCTAGTCCGCACAGAATTTGCACACCGGACACCATCACCAAAGAATTACAAAGGATCGATGACGCGAATGGTTATCCAGATAAATTCGTCTCCAAGAATGAATTAATTATTCATTTTCCTTTCAAAGGCGACCGTGCGACGGATGCCCTGCCCAAACGCCTGAAAGGCGCTGTTGAAAAGATTTGTTTCGCGGCTCGCCTATGCATAGTATATTACAACAAGCCTTTATTCGCAAAATCTTAAAAAGACAAGCTGCCTTCGGTAACTCGATCAGTGCTCGTTTATCTTTACTCGTGTTCCTGCGGTGCACGATACCTGGGTCGTACCACGAGGCGCCTTTCTCATGAACGGGAAACGATTTCAGAGTCATTTTTACTATCCCTGAACGTTCTCGTGCGGATTTCGGATGCATTTCCTACCTATTGCGGAAGCTATCTCTATCCACCACCTCAAGCCCGAATGGGGCGTACAAAAACAGTTTATTTCCCAACTTAGTAGCCTTTCGACCACCGTTCGTGCTTTATTTGTCATGTTTGGGAAATGTCACCCCTGTGAGTTTGGTACATGGGTCTGATGGTAGCTGGTAGCGAAACCGACACACAGTCAGTGAAATGGAGAGCCGATCAGCTCCGTGAGTGCGGATTTACCACACTTACACAGGACGGATGAACAGTGAGGAATTTGGTTGCAGTGCTATTATTAGTCCGGCACGTTTATGGTTCCGGACAAAGGCAAACGAGTTACCCGTACTCGACACGGATCTTAAGCGTATGTCACATAGTGCGATGGCGAATTCCCAACCGAGCAAGCGGAACAGACGGAGACGGCAGGTTGAAAGCCAATGGGCGGCGCCGGTGCAAGCTGACTACCTTCGTAGTGACCGGATAGACAGCGCGAAATCGAGTTCGGGTAGTGTGCACGAATTTCAAGTTTGCTATATTCGAGATAGGGTTGATTCAACTAGATGCGATCGAACGGTGAGCGCGAGCTAATGAACTCAGGCTGATTGCATGCAAGAATCAGCCATTAAAAACGCGCTTCAACAAAATAGCGATTCAGATTCAAGTACATTATAAAATTGCCCTTTGTTGTCCATTTACCGATTTCTTAGTCTCCTGCACCGGCGCGCAGTACCGGTGCTTCGCTGAATGACCTTAATGGAGTTTTTGATTTAACTGCACCTGGCTTATCCTCTCGCTATTGGATGCACGCATCCATAGACCCTGATACAGCATTCACGCGTCAAGCTGGAGTAGGTATCATTTTAAACTCCAAGGCTTAGCCATCGTTGGTTGATTGGATTCCGGTGAACAGCCGTTTGTGTGCGGCCCGTTTGACGACCTCAGCTAAGGTTGATTCACGAAGTGGTACAAAACGCTGTTTGTTTGTGATTTCTGCTTATGCTCCCACCGACTGCAGTTCTAATGCAGTCAAGAACACTTCCTATCACGAACTGAACGCGCTACTACGCAGCGCTACTTGTTCAGATATTACAGTACTTGCAGGGGATATGAACATACAATTAGGGCGTCTGCGCTTTTCAGAAGCTCAGCTGCGTGGTAATTATGGGCTTAACTCCGAACGGACTGACAACGGCGAGCTTCTGCTACAACTGTGTGCAGAGCACCAGTTATTCCTTTGTAGCACTGCTTTTAGACACAGTGGGTGCCGAAGCGCTACTTGGCGTCCTCCTGTAGCTGGCCAGCGGTGGACCACATAGTCATAAGTTACAGGTGGCGTGGTTCCATGCTGGATTGCCGCTCATACTAGAATACCTGCGTCGGCTCTGATCATGACTTAGTACGCTGTCGCTTTTCCATGAATTTTACCGGGAGGCTCACCAAGCATCCTCTGCGATTGACAACTGAGAAATTGTCTCAGCCCTCGGTCAGGCAAACCTATCAAGACGCACTGCGTACCGAACTTTCGCTGTTTTCTCCTAATGACACTGAGCTTCAGTGCAATAGTATCTCGGCCGCCATGCATGACGCAGGAGCATCTGATTGTGGCACTATCAATGGTCACCGCACCAGTCACTGGATATCCGAGAGGTCGGTGAACCTGCTGGAATCCAGAAGAAACCTCCCGGGCTATTAGGCGTGAACTAAAGCAAACCCTACGTACTGACAAGAAAGCCTAGTGGATCAGTCGTGATCAAGAAATGGTGTAGGCTGGAACAGTAGGCATTTACCACAAGCTCTTCCAGATAATCCGTACCACTGGTCCCAGAAATCCAGGCGTCAGTGAGACAATCAGGGACAGCGCGGGTGCGCTGATATACAATAAGGAGCGCCGTATGGCTCGTTGGGCTGAACACTTGGAACATCAGTTCAGCTGGCCCCCTGCTCCCGGACCTCTTGCTACTCAGTGGATGCAGGACAAGCCATGGACGGTTAGTTTAGAGCTTCCGTCAGAGGCCGAGGTCCAAAACGCGATCACAACCCTCAATCGTTTTCGTGCCGCTGACCCAGTTTCCCTCTCACCTGCACTAGTTAAGGATGAAGGTAAGGTCCTCTGCAAAGCACTGACCTCCCTATTCGAACCTATTTGTCAGGAAGACAGTGTCCCGGTTAACAGGAAGGAATCGATTATAGTGTCAATATACACGAAGGGCAGTCGCACAGACTGTTCTAACCACTGGGGTATCATCTTAACGCCAGTTGTGACAAAATTACTGGCCTCGATTATCGCTCGTCGCTTCACTGAAGCACGGGAATCTCGGATTAAGGTAGAGCAGGCTGATTTCCTCCCAGGACTTGGCTGTGTAGACCAAATATCCACTCTGCGGCAGGTACTAGAACGGCGCTACACACACCGCATGGCGACAATAGCTGTGTTCCTCTATTACAAGAGCGTTGATTCAGTCGATCAATGCATTCTGTTCGAAATACTTGCGCGGAAAGGTGTTCCCACAAAATATGTGAACATCCTATGTGCTCTTTACTCAAACACTACAGGCCGTGTCAGGTTTCTACGGTGATCTGTCGGATAGCTTTCCGACAACAAGTTGCGTTAGTCATGGTTGTCTGATTTCCCCTTTTTTGTTCAATTTCGTCGTGGATTTTATCATGTAGTGTTCCCTTGGGGAACCTCACGATGTGGGCGTTGAAGTGCTGCCTGGTGAAAGGTTAGTTGATCTTGATTATGCGTTCGATATCGTTTTGCTTTTCGACGATGTTGAGGCGGCACAATCAACCTTCGATAGCCTGTCAAGAGTGGTCCCATTAGTTGGTGTGCGCTTCCCGCCTTGAAAGTGTTGATGCAGGAACACCAGCCACTTGATGACCCCTTGACGCTTGCTGACGATGAATTGGAGATGGTTGATCGATTCTTTTACCTTGGTAGCTGCATCGGCAACCACGGGCGCATAGAAACTTACGTCAGCTTACTCATTGCAAAGGTCAGAGCTTCCTTTTTGAACCTGCGGCATCTTTGGCGACAGAAGGGAATTTCCCTTCCTTCTGAAAGGCCGTGTATACAAGGCCACAGTGAGGGCCGTTCTGCTGTATGGTAGTGAGATTTGGCCCCTTCTGTCTGAAGATCTGAGGCGCCTTCAAGTCTTTGATCATCGTTGTCTGCGAAGCATTGCTAGTGTTGGCTTTCACCAGGGTGTCTGCAACGATGATGTGCTTTGACGAGTACTAGGTAGTGATAATCATGCTATCTCCCTAAAATAACAGATCGCCTTGAACAAATCACGTTGGCTCGGGCACGTGCTACGCATGCCTGGTCACCGCTTACCTAATAGGGCCTTGTCTGGTTTGCCAGGTGTAGGTTGACGCAACGCTCGAGGTGGAGAGAAGTTGACTTGGCAGTGGGAAATGAAGTCACTGACGATCAAACTGGGTGCCGTTGGTCCGTCTCGCCTTCCGAGCTGGAGTCCACTTTGCTCGCCTTGTGCTTGGTTCGAGACTTTACAGGACATGACTCCCAACCGATACCGGTGGCGCGACTGCTGCTCTCTCCTTGTCGGATTACCTGTTTAAAGTGTGTTTGATGCTGAGTTAGCTGCGGGGTAATGGCTGATTATGATGCGTGGCAGTGAAAGCCGCAAGGAAGTTGTCTCGCCGATGCCGCCTTATCTTTGCACGATAGCCAGCTGTATGTAACGGTATGTTGTTGACACAAGGTGTAGGCGCCTTGGCCCTGAATGTTTGCTTAGGACGTTGTGGTTTCCAGGTAAGTCTCCCTTCTCTCCCTCTTAGTATTTTTTATTCCTCAGATTCTCATGGTTGTGTGGCAGCGAAACATCAGTTCAATTGGCTGATCTACTCCGGTTGATGATAATTCTACCAACGATACGAAGCCTAAACTAAGTACGTCGTACGAAAACTAAACTAGAAACTACGAACAAATAAACTTAGACTTAACGCGCGGTCTGGGCAGGAGAATAAAACGAAGCATCCTGTGACCGGGGTTCTATAAGGCATATTAAATACAGTACATGACTTGCGAGTAGGTTTTGCAATCGTAGTGCAAGAGGGCAAAAATTGTACAGCCTGCGGTGGCTTGCGAGTATTTGGGCAGTGTCACAGTAACATAATAATATGAATGACATTGA